CCACATGACCATCTGTAGATGCTGATGATAACTGTCTAACCATATCATCTAATGCTGCACAGTCAGCATGTGGCACTGGGTTTGGGTAAGTTGGAAAATGTGGTTGATTACTTTTAGCAGGAATAGGTGGCAAGGTGATTGAAGGTCCAGCATCTAAAAGATAATAAAACATGTTATGTATGATCCTGGCACAATGTTTGGAAGAAGTTCTAAATACCTTTAACAGAGCATTCTAACTGATTACAGAGCATTCTAACCATTTAGAAAGCATTTTAACCAATTAGAGAGCATTCAAACCATTTAGAGAGCATTCAAACCATTTAGAGAGCATTCTAAACATTTAGAGCATTCTAACCATTTAGAGAGCATTTTAACCAATTAGAGAGCATTCGAACCATTTAGAGAGCATTCAAACCATTTAGAGAGCATTCAAACCATTTAGAGAGCATCCAAACCATTTAGAGAGCATTCAAACCATTTAGAGAGCATTCTAAACATTTAGAGCATTCTAACCATTTAGAGAGCATTTTAACCAATTAGAGAGCATTCGAACCATTTAGAGAGCATTCAAACCATTTAGAGAGCATTCAAACCATTTAGAGAGCATCCAAACCATTTAGAGAGCATTCAAACCATTTAGAGAGCATTCAAACCATTTAGAGAGCATTCAAACCATTTAGAGAGCATTCTAACCATTTAGAGAGCATTCTAACCATTTAGAAAGCATTCTAAACATTTAGAAAGCATTCTAAACATTTAGAGCATTCTAACCATTTAGAGAGCATTTTAATCAATTAGAGAGCATTCTAACCATTTAGAGAGCATTCGAACCATTTAGAGAGCATTCAAACCATTTAGAGAGCATTCAAACCATTTAGAGAGCATTTTAACCAATCAGAGAGCATTTTAACCAATTAGAGAGCATTCAAACCATTTAGAGAGCATTCAAACCGTTTAGAGAGCATTCAAACCGTTTAGAGGGCATTCAAACCATTTAGAGAGCATTCAAACCATTTAGAGAGCATTCAAACCATTTAGAGAGCATTCTAACCATTTAGAGAGCATTCTAAACATTTAGAGAGCATTCAAACCATTTAGAGAGCATTCAAAACATTTAGAGAGCATTCTAACCATTTAGAGAGCATTCTAACCATTTAGAGAGCATTCAAACCATTTAGAGAGCATTCAAACCATTTATCGAGCATTCAAACCATTTAGAGAGCATTCTAACCATTTAGAGAGCATTCTAACCATTTAGAGAGCATTCGAACCATTTATAGAGCATTCAAACCATTTAGAGAGCATTCTAAACATTTAGAGAGCATTCTAAACATTTAGAGAGCATTCTAAACATTTAGAGAGCATTCTAAACATTTAGAGAGCATTCAAACCATTTAGAGAGCATTCTAAACATTTAGAGAGCATTCTAAACATTTAGAGAGCATTCTAAACATTTAGAGAGCATTCTAACCATTCAGAGAGCATTTTAACCAATTAGAGAGCATCTAACCATTTAGAGAGCATTCAAACCATTTAGAGAGCATTCAAACCATTTAGAGAGCATTCTAAACATTTAGAGAGCATTCTAAACATTTAGAGAGCATTCAAACCATTTAGAGAGCATTCTAAACATTTAGAGAGCATTCTAAACATTTAGAGAGCATTCTAAACATTTAGAGAGCATTCTAAACATTTAGAGAGCATTCTAAACATTTAGAGAGCATTCTAACCATTTAGAGAGCATTCTAACCATTTAGAGCATTCTAACCATTTAGAGAGCATTCTAACCATTTAGGAGTAAAAAATTAGATTCTTTACAATGACATTCAAGAGAACAGAGTATGTCGGTGCTGTACACATAGCACTGTCCAACTCCATCAATGTCTACACTGTCTAGTTCAGTGAGGTGTATATTTGAATATCACTGTTCCACCCGATCAATGTCTACACTGTATAGTCCAGTGAGGTATATATTGTATATAAAACTGTCCTACCCCAAGTATATCTACACTGTCCAGTGAGGTATATATTTGTATATACTACTGTCCTACCTCATCAATGTCTACCTTGTCATGTCCTGCCCTGTCCTGTCCAGTCCAGTCCAGTCCAGTGAGGTGTATATTGTATATAAAACTGTACTACCCCATGTATATCTACACTATCCAGTGAGGTATATATTTGTATATACTACTGTCCTACCTCATCAATGTCTACCTTGTCATGTCCTGCCCTGTCCAGTCCAGTGAGGTGTATATTTTATATAAAACTGTCCTACCCCATGTATATCTACACTATCCAGTGAGGTATATATTTGTATATACTACTGTCCCACCTCATCAATGTCTACCTTGTCTTGTCCTGTCCTCTCCAGTGAGGTGTATATTGTTTATAACACTGTCCTCCTCAATAATGTCTACACTGTCTAGTCCAGTGAGGTGTATTTTTGTATATACCACTGTTCTACCCCATCAATGTCTACCTTGTTCAGTCTAGTCCAGTGAGGTGTGTATTGTATATAATACTGTCCTATCCAATAATGTCTACACTGTCTAGTCCAGTGAGCTGTATATTGTATATACCACTGTCCAACCCCAAGTATATCTACACTATCCAGTGAGGTGTATATTTGTATATACCACCGTCCTACCCCATCAATGTCTACCTTGTCCAGTCCAGTCCAGTGAGGTGTATATTGTATATAAAGCTGTCCTACCCCAAGTATATCTACACTGTCCAGGGAGGTATATATTTGTATATACTACTGTCCTACCTCATCATTGTCTACCTTGTTTTGTCTTGTCCTGTCCAGTTCAGTTCAGTGAGGTGAGGTGTATATTGTTTATAACACTGTCCTACCCAATAATGTCTACACTGTCTAGTCCAGTGAGGTGTATATTGCCAGTAAAGTATGGAGTTAGCAATCATTGTTACAAAAATAAAAAATAATTAATTTGATTTGTGATCATGAAATCCCTATAAATGCAGGAGTTATATACTTACAACATGGAGGAACTGGGAGAAGTTCATTATTCAAAATAACAACCTCATTATCCTCTGTACATAATAATTGAGAAAATACATCAAGACAACCATTGTACTTTAACTACAAATAACAATAGAAATATTCAGTATTATTACTGGTAGTCTATTTAAATGTAACCATGAGCAAGTTGGTGATGTCACTGAGCAAGTTGGTGATGTGACTGAGCGAGTCGGTGATGTCACTGAGCAAGTCGGTGATGTCACTGAGCAAGTCGGTGATGTCACTGAGCAAGTTGGTGATGTCACTGAGCAAGTTGGTGATGTCACTGAGCAAGTTGGTGATGCCATTGAGCAAGTTGGTGATGCCATTGAACAAGTTGGTGATGTCAGTGAGTAAGTTGGTAATGTCACTGAGCAAGTCGGTGATGTCAGTGAGCAAGTCGGTGATGTCACTGAGCAAGTCGGTGATACCAATGAGCAAGTTGGTGATACCAATGAGCAAGTGGTGATACCAATGAGCAAGTTGGTGATGCCAATGAGTAAGTTGGTGATGCCAATGAGTAAGTTGGTAATGTCACTGAGCAAGTTGGTGATGTCACTGAGCAAGTTGGTGATGTCACTGAGTAAGTTGGTAATGTCACTGAGAAAGTTGGTGATGTCACTGAGCAAGTTGGTGATGTCACTGAGCAAGTTGTTGATGACATTGAGCAAGTTGGTGATGCCATTGAGCAAGTTGGTGATGCTATTGAGCAAGTTGGTGATATTAATGAGCAAGTTGGTGATGTCACTGAGTAAGTTGGTAATGTCACTGAGAAAGTTGGTGATGTCACTGAGAAAGTTGGTTATGTCACTGAACAAGTTCGTGATGCCATGAGCAAGTTGGTGATGTCAATGAGTAAGTTGGTGATGTCAATGAGTAAGTTGGTGATGTTACTGAGCAAGTTGGTGATGCCACTGAGCAAGTTGGTGATATCAATGAGCAAGTTAAGTTGGTGATGTCACTGAGTAAGTTGGTAATGTCACTGAGAAAGTTGGTAATGTCACTGAGAAAGTTGGTGATGCCAATGAGCAAGTTGGTGATGCCAATGAGCAAGTTGGTGATGCCAATGAGCAAGTTGGTGATGCCACTGAGCAAGTTGGTGATGCCACTGAGCAAGTTGGTGATATCAATGAGCAAGTTGGTGATGTCACTGAGTAAGTTGGTAATGTCACTGAGAAAGTTTGTGATGTCGCTGAGAAAGTTGGTTATGTCACTGAACAAGTTGGTGATGCCATGAGCAAAATGGTGATGTCAATGAGTAAGTTGGTGATGTCACTGAGCAAGTTGGTGATGTCAATGAGTAAGTTGGTGATGTCAATGAGTAAGTTGGTGATGTTACTGAGCAAGTTGGTGATGCCATTGAGCAAGTTGGTGATGCCATTGAGCAAGTTGTCACTGAGCAATAAATAATTAGTACACATCCATCTCTCATAATTATTTGGTAAAAGAGAAAGATTGTACTGGATGAATTTGTTGTTGCATCATGAGATAAATTACTTACAGAAGTTAGCATGTAACCATCATCTACTGAACCCATTTGTACGTCAAGTCTGATAACAACTGGAAACAACTCAACTTGATAATTAATATCTGCAATATAAAAATACTTATATTACCGTTATAAGAGAGATTGGAAATGACTTAAATTGCTCTATGCTCCTGAAGCACATTGATCACACCTTGAGCAGGTGAGTATATTCAAGTATGTTATAAAAATCACATCACAAAGCATGGTATACTGCTCAGATGCACACGTCAATGGGACAAGTGCAAGTTGCTGTCCAAAGAGCTTATAAAAACAGCTAAGGCCAAGAAAACAGCAAAAACTGATCTTTTAAGTATGGTAATACTGAACAACTAAATTTATAATATATGTTGCACATGTGGGGGTACACCTGTTCAGAAGATTCTCAACAACAAGCCCAAAGTACAGTTTTTGGAGAGAGTTTTTGACCATAGTTTTCACCTGTAATGGTGGTCAAAGTCCGTCCCAGAGAATATGCAACACTTGAAATGCATTCTTCATTTGAAATTATTAAACTCTGACATCATAAACAGTAAGCAGCTCAAAATACTATTTTTTCATATTTCACTATGATATTATATTTATTTAGTAATTGAGCTAATAACGTTTTTAAAATAGAATAGAGCTTCATTAAAACCATAAAGAAAATGTTACATTTCTTTTTTGGTGAGAAAAATCAATCAAGCAAAAATAAATGAATAAATATACTAGTAGATGAGACACCTTTTGATTTAAGTGAATCTATTGTACAATGTCTTTTAGCAAAAGCCATAACCAGTCCATGCATATAGTGATTAACATGCTATACTATAATATGTTTATAGAATAATGATAAAATGCTGATAATAGAATATGCAAAGATGACTTTACCATGAATTGTTGTAATCTCACTGCCTATGAATTTATGTTGCCAATTTAGGTTGATTTCATCACTTCTTATGAAAATACTCAAAGACACTGGATCATCACAATTGTCGATCTCTATGTAGTTCTGCACAAGTATACTATCCTACAACAATAAACAGTCAGTATTAATTATTCACATTATGTCCATGTAGGCACTGATTCATGGATGACAGATACTGTAAAATACTTTATTTTTGCTTGGAATTAATTTTCTCTGAAGGAGTGATTAAGTGAAAATACAGTTCAGCGAATATACCTTTTTTCCTATACCGGTATTTTACATTCAACTCACCAAAATTCAGTGAAAATAAATTCCATACAAAATACCCAAAAAGTCTTTTCAGCGAAAATTAATTCCAGTGAAAATAAATGATTTCACAGTAAGCATGATTTCAAATGCAGGTAAATATTGGTGTCCTAATGCATGTGTAGAGTTTTAACATAATTGCCACATACATGTACATACACAGATACATGCAATACTGAGGCAACAACCAGATTCTAATGTACAGTTGAAAAATACAGAGTATGAAAGCATTTCCATTTCTAGACTCTTCAGCAATGAGTTGTGCAGGTGTACTTTTCAGCCATGCGTATGTTTTAAAACATACCAATAGTTATGGTTTTAAATGGTTAGCAAAAAATCATATAGAAATAAACAAGCAGCCTCTTGGCTGAGATAGCTCTGTTGATAATAATCTATGCATAGTATATATTCTAATATACTGATTACTCATTTATATGGCAGGCACAGCATACTGTATATCCTATATACTAATGTACTGGAATCCCAGAAATATGAGAAACAAAAAGGAAATCGCTGTGCATATGTATCTTGAGAAATGATCAATGTCAAATAAAAATATAACATGTGATGTTCCCAAAATTGAAAAAAATCAGCCCATCCAGAGAAAAGGTTGATGACATGTTACAATTTTGTAATTTAAATTTTTTTTGGTGACAAAAACCAAGTGAAAATGCAACCCATTATATCTCACATTGTACCGAATTTAAACAAAATCTGTGAAGGTGCATTTACGAAACAGAG